GGTGTCAAAGTTGCGGATGAACATGGGATTGATCCGCTGTGGATCTAGCATGTGTGAATGTAGCACTCTCGATAGGCCAATTTGTCTGTCTGGTGCTCTCCCATATTTCTTAATAGAAATATGAATCCAGTCTGTACGCACCCGGCTCCAGGGAGAAGTTCACGGCGAAGAGAAAGCAACCTGGGAAACTATTTAAAGACAGATGATGGTCGATCAAAGAAAAGAGGTGAAGAAGTTGAAGTGTCCAGAAGGCCCTATTGGCTATGGACACGCTTAAGGTTCCACATGAAACTCAGATAGTTTGCATCAGAGCAAGCCGCAATGGAAGTCTCCAAGCGGATTCGGATCCATTCATGTGTGGACCTAACACCTTTGAGACCTTCGACGTGGTACCACGGTCTCGATATGCCTCGATGGTGAAGATGGGACCTGCGAAGGTCAGACTGGCTTTTTCACCGGCACTGTGAATCCGCGACTACTCGTCCGACAAGCAAACAAACAAGCAAGTTGTTGACCGGATCTACTTACCACCCTGATCTATCATATCTCAGCATGGTCGTTCCCCTTGACTTTTTTTTTAGAGCGTACCGATATTGAAATAAAAAAAGGTGGATGAAGTCATCTCCGTGACAAATGGTTACGGTTGCGGAAACCGGAGAAAGTCGGGAACCGTCGGTTACCTTTTGAATCAAAGTAGCGACGAGCCGAGTACTACGACTACAGGGGGGGCTTCGTAGACAGCTTCCTCGTCGCTTCTTTCCGGCGACTAGCTTCTCAAGTGGGTGGCTTAGGTTGCCCTAAACGGCCTTCAGCATCGGTCCCTATCAATAATAGGCCGGAATGGTGGGGGCCCCCTACTTCAATGGAAAGGGGGGAATCGCCCTTTCACAGCCGCTCCTCTACAACTACCTTTCGCCCAACATGATCACGAACGAAGACAGAGAATTGCGTAGATAGGAGGACGAAACGAAACAACCCACTTGTCCTGATCGGAACGATTGAAGAAAGAGAATGGTGGCCCCTTTCGCCCAGGGGACATCGTCGGAGAACAATGTCGGGGACAGGGTGAGAACCTTCCCTATTGAATTCTTATCTTGTCCATCCTGCCCTGCGCTACGCCTATATCTCCGGGTGCCAAGCTATCTGCCCCTACTCTTATAAAATAAAGGAAGGCAGGCTGCCCTGCCCTGAAGACCGACGCTCTACCTCGGGCTTTTGTTCTTGGTCGGAATCTCATTTCCTGGAGCGCTAAGAAGCAGCCCCTTACTCACCTCTTAATCTATAAAAAAAGCCCTATTTATTAGTCAAGCTTTCCGCTAGAAGTAGCGCGCTAGCATTTAACTAATATAATAGAAAGTAAAGGCTCTTATCATCGAGAGTAGGTTCTTTTCAGCTAAGTTTGTTATGAGTTGTATGGGACCAGAATTTCAGTGAAGGGGCTGTCACATTGTGGGGAAACGGACTCCCCTTGGGCATGACACCAATTGAATTGAGTATTGATGGGGATCTTAGCAAAAACCAATCATGTTGTCTTTTAGACAGTCACCCCTCACACCCACCCCCATTTGTTTTGTGAAGCCAATTGCCTTTCCTTTTGTAATTTTTCATTGTTGTATAGTCTTGTTGCATTGCCTTTTAAGATTCAAGAATGATAATTATGTACCTAGCTCAATGTCCGCCAAGTTATTTGACTCTCTTCCCTTAGCCTCAATTACATTGACCCTAAATTTACATTTTTATTGCAGTATTGAGATATACAAGCATAACAAAGAAGAAAGAATAGCTAGAACGTGGGGGTACAACCGCACCAGGATTGCCATATGTCGAGGTTCGATATAATTGACCAGCTGGAAATTGGCTCATAGGTGGAGATCTGGAAGTTAAAGCCTATCAACTATCAAATAGAATGATGGGCTTGATCACTACAGGCTCTTTCCCCAACAACTCCGGAAGGAATTTGAGAGGCGTCAGGCTGATGCAGTTTTTGCATTTCAGTTAAGGAACCCTGCGCATAATGGGCATGCCTTATTGATGAATGATAGACGCAGGCGATTTTTGGAAATAGGTTACAAGAATCCAATTCTACTGCTTCATCCTTTAGGAGGTTTCACAAAGGCTGATGATGTGCCTTTGGATGTTCGGATGGAACAACACAGCAAGGTTCTTTTTTTCTTTTCAATTTCCTCTATATAGCCTTTGATAATGATGATCTGATGAGCCATGCTGTGATAACAAGAATTTTGACACCCTAGGAAAATTGATGCCATTCTTTTTTGTTTTTCATTTCTCTAAAATGAGTCTATTTGCTGTGGGCCCTCTCATTCCTTCCAAATCGTTGGATCCTACGGTTGAGGACCTCTGAATACGAATCTTTCTATTTCCTCAACATGCTTCGAGCCGCTGTCTCTTGAAGCCTTTGTAGCTGTTCCGGCTAGGTTCACCAAGTTTATTTTGAAAGAAAAGTTGTTGGCAAAAGCCTGAGTTAGGTGTGAAAGGTATTCGATTTCCACCAGCTCTTAAGCACACCCATTGGCATTGACTGTATGGGATCGAAAGACTTTTTTGGGGGAGTAAGGATTACTTTTCAGTACGGGTTGTCTACGAATAGGCATAGGCCGGCTATTTATAATATATAGGTCGAGACGATTTTTCCGGGATATATGCTGACCATAAGTCGGCATGGTTTGGTTGTGGATTTCCATACTTCTTTTTCTTCACTTCGCTTCGCTTCTAAAGTTGGGTGAAATACAACGCCCAAGGGCTCGGCCTGCAGGGAAGAACTTTCTCGGGGAATCCACTTCCTTGGCTTGATAGGAAACCTCAGTTGAACATTAGACCTTTCCGGCTTAAAGAAATGAGGTCAATTACACCTTTCCTTCACTTCGCTTCGCTTCGTTTTTAGAGTCTCACTTTGCTCTCCTCACAATCATCTGACTCAACAGCTCCGTTCCTGGATCTTAGGCTGATCCAAGGCTTAGTTTCCTTCCGGACAAGAGAACGCGTTAGAATAGCCTATATAGGCCAACAGAACGAAATAGATCTCTCTTACTATTCCCGGAGATTAGTCATAGCATCCACTTGTGCTAACTCCTTGCCAATCTCTTCAAGCGGGAGGCAAGGTTAGTTACGTAGTTGACTTTCCCGGAGAGAAGGAAGTCTTAAAGCATCAAGTCTCATCTTTCCCCTGCGGAATCCGTATATCCTCTGATTTAGCTGCAAGTTTCTCTTTAGTGTGCGAAGTCCGTCCTTGGAATACGCAAGATGGGCTAGTGTATATGGAAGTATGACAGGCGGTCTATCTAGTTACGTAGGTTAGTGCGTAGTTAGCGTAGAGCCACAGAAGCTTATCCCCGTAATGCAGCTAATCTTGTAGGTCAATGTAATCGAGCCTCGTAGTGTGTTTTAGTTAGACTTTCTGCCGTATTTCTATCTTAGTACAAAGGCCTGGTATCTATACCCTCGCCCTCAAGAAGAAAGAAAAAAGCCCGAGGTTTCCGGGTGCATTATTCCCACTTTCCGGAAATCTGTATAGATATTATGATTTAGACCGACCTAAGTCTTCCTCGATCTTATCAGATTAAGTAAGGGATTGCCGAAAGAAAGAGGAATGGAATCGGGGGAAGACAGAGCCTAGAGATCAGTTCTCTGATCAAGGATCACATTCTCTTCTACTAGCTGCTAAAGGCTGCTCATTATATGTAATTAAATTCCTCACTTACAACCCGGACGCAGACAGGAACAAGGCAAAAAGACATTCTATCTTAGTTACGGAAAGCCGGAGATCTTTCTCTTCTAAATGACATCTATCCTCTATCTCTATTTCCGCTAGACGATGCTTGCGGATCTGCATCCCGTAAGAAAATGAAAACGAAGTCAGATCCTATTGATCTCTTACCGGCAGTGGGATCTTCTTCTATAGTCTCTTCTAAAGAGTTGGATTATAGGCTATTCTAAGTCTGAATCGGAAACTGCTTTTACTCCCTCCGAGAAGATAAGATAATACCTGGGTATCCTCTAACTCTTGCTTTGGAGTTCAGATTTGATCTGTCCTATCGAGGGCAATTATCATAGCGCCTACCTTATCTCTTTCAGCAGGCGGGGAATAGAGGAACGCACTAATCTGAGTTCACCGTCTTGTCTTCCGATCCGGACGATTCGTAGCAGCTCCTAAATATTAGGTCACATTGAATACTTCAACCTCACTTTTCATCCCCAGCCAAATAGCCAGAAAGTCTAGTTCGAGCATTAGAAGGAAGCTAAGGCAAACAATTAGAATAGGAGTGAAAATAGACTAGGGGACTTAGAAGGGGGATGCTCTAACTGAGAATTCAAGGTCAATTACATCGAGCCAACGCCCATTTTTTGCTAATGATGTGATGATAGAAGCACTCTCTCCTTTTTCTGTTTAGCCATGACAGACACCTTTATGTATGCCATTTTGAGACACCAAAAAGGAACAGAGGGGGCGAAGCTCCAACTCTTAACTCTGAATGGGGCAAGAAAGGATAGAGTCCTCATGGCGGGCATCCCAGCTCGAAAACAGGATCGCTTGCTTCTTCCTCCTTCCTTTTAGTCAGGAGTTCAGTCGTCAATTGTATCGAACCTTATACTCCTAATCGGTCTATCAAAGCAGAAAATCCATCAAGAAGAAAGGACTAGAACAAAGGAGTTACTTCCCTAAAACTGATCTTTAGAAGCTACCATAGGAAAGATAAGGACAGGAAAGATCGGATAATGGCCCTTTTAGAGCTATCCGAATTTCATCGTTTTATCGAACGTTTTCCTATGGCCTTGACTGATTCTACCTAAGATCAAAAGGCTCGATGTAATTGACCTCCTTTCCTTCACAGATTTAGGTTTGAGGTCCTAGCTACAGACTCGACTGAGGACTGGCCTTTCTACCACTGAGAAAATCGTTTAGCTGCATACCCCCGAATGAGTACCTGCTTTTTCTAGTACTGATTCAATCGTTGGGGGACAGACTGCCTCGAGCTTACCTTTGCCCGCGTACTGGCTTGCTTTCCTGGCTTTCACTGATAGGTCGTGCGTCCCTGCTACTGCTTTTCTTAAATCTTGAACTGAGGTGAGGGTTCGAGTGGGTCCAATAAAAGAAGGAAATGGTATCACATATTATGAGAGTCGAGACTCACAAGTCCTCCAGGGACTTCACTGCGCTTCGCTTCTAAAGTATGGTCGAGATCTTTAAACCTCACAGAACGAGGTTAGTTTTCGAATTTGCTAACCACATGGACAGCATAAGCAATATCGGGACGAGAAATGGTGAGGCTCGATATAATTGACCTGCGGCGATATAAAGTTGCGAATAGACTCCCCCACCATCTGACCATCACGACTTATTTACAATTCTAGTGACGGAGGCACGAGTCGAGGCTATCAATGTGATTTCGTAACTATAACGAGTAGGTGCGTACGTAACCGGTAAGCAGAACTTCTGTATAAGCGTTTATTATTCAATTTCATTTTTTGCCATTAGCATTAGAATAGGAAACCATTTCTAAAAGCTCTGTTACACGACAGAAAAAAAAGAACGATATCTATTGATTTAGTCCGTGCCACTATTCATGCTATTAGTTAGCATTCCATTTTTTGGAGACTACGGATCTCGCTGGATGGGATATATATAGTAACGCTTTAATCGGGTAGACTTTCGCTCTCCTCTCCTTGTATGGTCGAGACTCACTTCGCTCTCCCTTCCTACATCTTCTTAGGCGCACGGAGGAAGAGATGCTGCAAAAGATGCAAGTCAATCAGCCGAGAAGTTGGACTCTCTATAAGCATGCTGAATTTAGACTTCCCTATAGAAAGAAAGTAATTGCAATAGACTAGCCAGCAACGAAGAATTCCCATTAGCACACGAAATGACTATCAATCTCCAAAATGACTCGTCATATAACCATATCCCAAGCTAGCAGGAGACCTTGACCCCAAAGTGAACATTTCGCTAAGCTTTAGGCGAGCTCATAAGCCAGAAAGAGACTAGGCGCTGACCTATAGTCATAGGCGGATCTCCTTTCAAGGTCAGGTGATACCTTTCTGGTTGATCCTACTAATGATCATGCAATGAGTGTTCAACTCATTTGTGAAATCGATGAGGCGGCGACAGGCCAAAGATCAACAGAACGGGATCTTTACCATACATTCTTTTCCAATTTTCGATCTTTCGAACGAGAACTCATCGTGATGGGTAGGTGTATCACACCGGCAAGCTCGCCCGCCTCTGTTTAGTCTTTCATGGATGAAAAAAATACATGAAAGGACTAATGTCGGTTAACGCAGACTTGGATACCTATTCAGTGAAGGAAAGGTCAAAACTATCGAGCCTATTCATTCTCTTTCTGTTGCCTAGCTAAACCCGAAGCAAGCCTGAAGCAGTGTAGCAAGACCTTCTATCCCTCCATTGAGGTCAAACCTCTCCATTTACCCGTTGTTTGTCGGACTCGATTTTGTAGACAAGTGTCTGTCTGCCATTTCACAAAGGAACTCTGCCTTCTCGTCACGCTTGCCGACAACCCGCTTTCTATCCCCCGAGCACTCAGTGGATGAAGAGGAAAGCGTATCAGATCAAGCCTTCGAAGCAGCCCATTCCGTCGATGTAGTACAATCAGTTCTTTCTGTCGAGTTCCATTCCTTGATGAAACGGGAAAGAAGGATCCACCTTATTCACAACAACAGCACTTCTTCCACGAATAGGTGTTCGCCATATCTTGCTTTGCGGATATGGAGTCTTTTCAAAAAGAACAAGGCTCGGAGGCAAGCAAGCGCGTTTGAGTTCTCATATTCGATCAATGCGATATTGCTGACGGTATGGAGCCATGAATTGGTCGCATCCCCTTAGCGAGTCATCTTACTGGGGAAAAGGAAGAGTTTGGCTTGACTCGCTCTCCTACGAGGCGTTAAGCTCCTTGCCTGCCTTCATGTCCGGCTTCTTGTACCCTTCTCAGGACAGCCCTCATCATAGCTAGCTCAATTACATCGACCCAATGAACGAAGCGAAGCGAAGTTCAGTCATAAGGGAAGATCATTCATTTCTTCTTCTCAATTACATCGACCCTTGGTTACTGGTGAAAGTCATTCTTCTGTCCTCTTACTCTACCTAAGCCCACCAACCTCCATTGCAAGCTTATAGCTTTGAAGCCTATAGCTCTCTTTCGATAACCCAGTTGAATAGACAACTTCAGAGGAAGGCGCCACTTAGCCCTCAAGCTTTTGATCGCTCTGCCGAACGAACCACCGATTGAGATGTATTGTCAACCACTTCGTTAGTGGACCTGCTTAGTCCTTTAGCTGAGAAAGATAGTCTGGGCGTGATCCGTGATCCCTGTTCATTATCGAGATGAACCCAACGAACGAAGCGAAGCGCAGTGAAGGAAAGGTTATAACATAGTCTCGACGCGAAAGGAGAGGAATCCTACAAGGAAGGAGTTCAGTCGCTGCGCTTTGCTTCTCTCGTATACCAACTTTCACTTGATAGGGCATTAAACCCTTCATCCAATCTCTGGTTGGGTAGCACATCACGGAACAAGAAGAAGAGAATATCCATGTTCATAGGTAGTCAATCGAATCCTTTGTTTTGGCGCGAAGAAGCTCCACGGGAACTCCCTGTCGATAGCTGCAAAAGTTGATGGGGTTCTTCTTATTTCCGTCATCGTAGCGAGAGGAATAATAGAGTAGAGATGCTTGACTTCTTGCCGAAGTGCACTGCGAATCAATCACACTGGCTGCGGCTCTATCTAGGGTAGAAGACGAAGACGTCGAAAAAGCCCTTGCTAAAAGAAAGGAGAACAGGTAATAAAGCATCCCCTATGGCCGATAGATGGGCAGAAAGCCTAGTTTAATACCCTCGAAGGGTTCGGGTTACCGAGTTAGACCATCAAACCACTGATCAGACGCTCAATCCCTCAAGGCTAGATGAAGCCGATTCCAAGCATCTCCCTAGGGTCAATGCAATTGAGCTCAATCCTTTCTGCCATTCATATTGAAGCTGATGATACACCATAAGAAGAGGGATAGTTAACTACTCACGGTGCAATACACACAGTGTATTTTGAATGATAGGAAAGAAGCCCTTTTAACTCAGTTCTTAGAAAAGTGCTTTTTGAGAGTTCCACCGTGATAGATCTAGTTTATGACTCGGCCATAGGCTTCTTTGACTTCACTTCGCTTCGCTTCGCTTTTAAATATGGTCGACAAAGTTGAGGAAGCTGTAATCCGGAAAACAATGCCTCGCCGCCTTACTTAATAATGTGGTAGATTTGGGACTAAGAAAGAACCCACTCTTCCGCCTATTGACCTTCTGCCTCGACACCTCCTCATAAAGGGTGCCGTCAGGTAGATCACACGCTTCAAAGAAGATTGATCACCTTTTCTCCCGCCAATCCAGTTGGAGTTGCTTTATAAGCAATTTGATACTATCAGGAGAGATTATGTTGTGGTCAATTACATCGAGCCTTAACCAGTAGAGCGCTGCCTAAAGGCACCCTCTGCCATGCAAGACATCCTATACTAGTCAAAGACAAGACCAGCCATGATCTTCATGGTGTTGTTACCTAAAGGGTGCAACTGATGTTGATGCCCAACAACACTACTAGCCGAACCATCTGAATCCAATACACGTTCAGTAACAGGAGTTAAAGTGTTTTCAAGGAACATGCAAACGTACCGTTCGCCTGTCGGTGAATCGGAGATACAACCAGGCAAGGCATATTTGGCTCAGCCCTATTTATTGCCCCTGGTTTGATCGGAGATCAATTGAAGACCGTGTTTTAAGGTTTCGCCCCAACGAACGAAGCGCAGTGAAGATTTAAATATGTTCGAAGCAAAGTGAAGGAAAAGTTATAACATAATCTTAACAGAATTAGGCTCGAATGGAGGACAAGGGACAGATGAAACTCCCAATGGTATCGAACTGGCTTCTATGATTGCCTTCACATAACTTGAGTAGACGACAGCTGGAAGGAAGTCCCTTTTGGTTCATATAGGCGCTTATTTACTATGAACCAGAATGACTTTCTTTCCTATTTCAAACTTCAGATTTGTCTTTGTCGCTGGTTCGATCTCAATCTCAGGACGTGCATCGGCGGCCCCTTTCCATTGATAGTCCTCCTAAACCGATGGGCTTGACTTTCAAATAGGCATCGTCGGTTGGCTCTCCTAAACGAGGGCAATTATCCACTCTGATAGATGTAAGACTAGGCTGGCTGCTGCTATTTCATCAGCTTTGGGATTTTCGGAATAGAATTAGAATGGCTTGTTTTCAAGGTAAGGTAAGAGTTCGAGAATCCGCAAGACTTTCAGGTTTGAAGGCAGAATGCGCTCTTGGGAATCGAATAGGACAGATAGTTTCTCATCTCGGGCAATTCAATTCAAAAGGATATAGAAGCTCTTAGCAAGAAGGAAAGGATGCCAGTTGCTATTGAATGCGGTCTTACAGACTTGCCAATCTTTCAAAAGACGGTGAGAATTGCATTGCATTCGATGACTTGCCCTGCAGTCCTCTAACGCATTATCTCTTTCGGTGTATCCTACAATTCCCTAGGGCCTACCTTGTAACCAGCGTTGTACCCTTTTGTTTTGTTTGCGAGCAAATCCCGCTATCAAGTAAGCTAGTGAATAAGGAAGGTTATAGTAAGCGGATAAGCTTTCCCTAGCGCTGTACAAGTCAGTCCCATGGGATATTTAGTTGAGTCAGTTTCAGTTCAAGCAGAAGAAGAAGAAAAAACCAGGTAAGCATGTGTAAGCCATTCTAAAAGTTCTTTATAGGTTCACGACCCAACTTTAGAAGCGAAGTGAAGGAAAAGAGCAAGGGATTGCTTTCGTCTCATATAGCTGCAAAAGTTGATAACTATATTGACTTTTCACTTTTATGACTTCACTGCGCTTCATTCGTTGGGTCGATGTAATTGAGATCAGTGGTTCACCCATTCGGGCATTGATTACTATTCCTTCGTTGCCTGCTTTACTTACTGGATATCCTGGCTCGTACTAGTTGGCTGGTTCACTTCGGAGTGGGGAGTTTGGTTTAGACAGAAGGTAGACGGAGTTCCGGCTTTGGATCGTTCAACCCTTGGTTCTCTTTCAGATCCTTCGTTGGCTTATTCGAAGGCTAGACAGAGAATACACACCGGAGTGACTTACTATAGGGCAGTGGTACCCAAGTTATAGAGATAGATAGCTGCCTTACTTCTACTTTCTTCGTACCAAGACATACCCATTCCTCACTCTAAATAACTTAATATAGGATAATGACCTTCGATTTCACTTGGTTTTGATTCAAGAATTGGTAAAAGGTGGGGAAGGAATTGAACCTTCTGCTAATAAGGAGTCTGGGCAATTATCATCGCGCCTTCCACCTCCTTGGAATAGGAAGTATGTCCCCTGTTGTGCAATCGGTTTGGTTTGATCTTCATCCCTACCTGAGACTGGAAAAAGGATTACGGGCTACCAACAAGACCGAGGATTTCAGATGAGAGATTCGCTATTGGATAGCTGCCTACACTTTCAAGGCTTGAACTATTAAAATCAAACTACTTGAATAGACAGACCGAAAGAAGGCAAGAAAGATTCCAATCCAAAGAATCTCTTGTCCAGGATGCTTGGGGTCCTACGGTTCTTTCCTACAGGTAGGGGTACGGGATGGACTTCTCTGTCCTGAAAGCTAGCTCATACCCATGAGATCACATCACCAAAGGGCCGCAGGGTCTAAGGAATAGGTAACGAGAATGCCAGATCCGTAACATTCCATTCTAGGTCTCAGAAATCCTCGTGAATGGACAAGAATCAAGGTCAAACTTCTTTTATTTGATATTTGAAGAGTGGCGATATTGTATCTCTAGCTCGCAAAACTTATGAAAAGGGGGAGGGCCAGCCCGTTCACATGGGTTTTCTCATGGATCGGATTGGGAAGAACCTCGAGAGGAGACCAAGCCACACGTAGAGCAGGACGGGTAAGTTTTTTTCCTGTTGACAACCTGACCTTGCGATCGAAACAGACCCAAGGAAGAGTGGGGGCAAAGACCGAACGAGGATCTAGTAGAGGAAAGGAAACCAAAGTCACGGGACGACCCGCGTCTGCCTTAGGCGTTCGGCCTGCCATCAGACTGAGAGTCCTCAACCTTCCGTTCCTTTTCAAGAGGTTTTTTTGGGAGCCTAGCCTAGGATGAGACAGGTGGGTTGTTGGCTTTGTCGAGAGGTCTCTTCCGCCTCTGTCTTTGCAGCCTATCCTACAGGATGGGTGGATCCAATATCCGAATGGGGAGAGTGACGAGTGGAAACGAGCATCAGGAAGGGAAGAGTGATGGAACTGAACTAGCTTATTTTCTGTCTATATAAGGGCGAGACAGAGATTGAATTAACATCGGAATAGCTGCTACCTTGTCTTAAACTTAAACCTACTATTCAGGGAGTAGTCACCCGAGGGGAAAGAGGCTGCCAGTCTTTGCTGTTGATGCGAAAGAATCGGTCTTGCCCAGCCTCACTGAGTGGATCTGGTGCCCACACCGTAGCTAGTCCTCTTAGCTTTATTGGAGCAGGTGCCCAAGCTTCTTTGGCGAATCCTGGAGGAGAAGTAAGAGAGGCGTAGCGAGAAGGATTTGCTGCTTTCTTACTTATTCCTAAACCTCTTTCTGCCAGCTATGACGCCCCAGTTGGAATTTTCATTGCTGCGGTTGGAGTAGAAGGTGGAATCTTAAGAGAAGCCCTGCGTCGGGATAATGGATGAGTTGTCAAAACTCGGTAACAGTTCCTCGAAGGAGTTCCCGTTCTTCGCGGTCAGCTTGACCAGACCTTCTCGACATCCAGATTCTAACTGCTAATGTTTTTTTATCCCTTAATTCCAATTATACTCTTGGTATTGGATTTTTTTATCGTGCCTTATTGACTATGACAAGAGTCGCGACCAACGAGCCTCGTCCGAGGGACGGTAGCGGGTCTCTGTACGCTTATCAAATTACTTCCATGAAAAAGACTTTTCGGGATTATCTTTCTCTCTGATCCATATTGTTCCTTTACCGGGTAAGTTCAATCAATCTCCGGCCGTTCAGCAATCCTGTAATAGGGACGAGCCACTCCCATTCCTCTCGCTGCCAACCATTCCTCTATGATGTTCTAATACTGCGCTTAGGCCTTACGAGCAAGTCAGCTTTATCATCTTTCTAATCCTACAGCCCTTCTCCCAAGAGTTGAAGAAAAGGCTACCGACTTGGCGTACCGAGTCTGGTTCTCTGAAGCAGTCGATCTTAGCTCTTATCAACTTGCATGTGTTAAGAATATATATATATTTCTTCGAAAGACTTCTGAGATTCTTATTATTATTAAATAGTGATCTTTTTCAATCTACTGGAACGAATCTTATCTTATATGCAGCAGCAGCTGTTAAAAGAAAGAGAGGGTTCACCTGATTGGAATCACTTGCAGGTCCCGCCTGATTGAAGGGATATTCTGGCTATAGCACCATCTCTTATTCGTCATCAACAGGTCAATTATATCGAGCCTAATCCGCCCCCCCGGATGGCTTTATTTGCCCCATCTTATTCTATTCCGAAAGACCTTCTACTATCACATCGGTTACGGAAGCACCGGATGAAATAGCAGTTTTCCCTTCTCCTAGTGAAAGAAGTTCCTTCCCACTGCCATGTCAGTCTTAGTCCAAGTTCGACTTATATATATAGTAAGAACGAAAGCAAGCACTTTTTATGCCGCTCGTGCCTTACGACTAGTTGTTGATAAGAGAGTCTTCTTTCAAACTAATGTTTAACACCTCCTGCTTTCACTCGGTGATTTTAACTACTCTGACTCTCTGATCTACTGGATTTCCCTTTTTTGCCTCTACGGCTGAGGGGGAAGTTTGAACTACCTGATACTCCAGAATGGTAAGAGGAATCTATTTTTCTTTCATGTCATATATAAGATAAAAGAGCAAATAAAACCTCTCTTTTGATGACTCCAACCTTCCTCAACCACCGCTCTATACGCAGACTTGACCGAGAAGACGCTGCTAGAAAAAGTTGTTTGAGAATAGGTTGTTCAAGGCATCTCCTTCTCTAGTTGAAGAGAAATTAGTTAACTACCTTTCCTTATTTAAGGAGTGACTCACATGATTCAAAGGTGAATCACATAAGCTAGCTCAATTACATGGACCCTAATGCTCCCATGTCCGAATCCGTACTTCTCTAGCTGCTGCAGTAGCGAGCACGTATCGAAGGCTCGATAGTTTTGACCTTTGCTTGTTCAGGTAAATGGCATAAGCATAAGGCAATGAAAGCCAGACAATAGAAGTAGATGCAAGAAAGAATGCGCTCTTAGTCTTAGAGAATGCACGAATGAATCA